AAAAAAAAAAAAAAAAAAAAAAAAAAAAAAAAAAAAAAAAAATCCACTCACTGAAACAAACGCTTGACCACAGCATCACACACACACGCACACACACACACACACACACTGTCACACAGGGGGGAAAAAAAGAAGAAAAGTTACTGCATTATCAAGCGTTGCCTACCAGTAGTGGTATTGACAGAGGGACTGACTGATATGGAACATTTAACTTTTGTTGGACGCATCTGTTGCCCTGTTTGTTGACCGGACGAACAGCAGCAAGTGCTCTCGTTCTCTTCATCACATTGCAACGATTGCATGGTTAGCTATGCTGTAGTACAATACTACAGATTAACTTGCAGCTGAAGTAACGTTTCTTTCGAAACTATCATAATCTTTATCGAGATGCGCCTTTTTGTAAAAGGAAACAAGGCAGAGGACTCACCTTGAAGCTGTATCCCTGATCGATCAAAAACTGTTGTCGCTTGGTGGAATAGTACATCTCCTGGATGACAACACAACAAAGAGAAGACAGAGTCACACCCGCATGCAGTCGACAGGGCCCTCTGAGAAAAAAAACTTCAAAGTTTAAGAAAAGTGCAAAGACTCCCCATTACAAAACCTGCGCCACTATGCAGAACGGAACCAACACCTAGGGTTTTTCATTGCCAGGCGTTTTCGTTGCTGCAGATTTTGCCAATGGGATTGATTCAACAGCAGACGGGTGATCCAGTCCTCCTATCGCCAAGAATCAGGAAGCAATTTCACTCGGTCCAAAAACTCAGATGAAAAAATGATTAAGCACTTCAAAAGGCGGCAAGCTACATCCAGGGAGGTCCAGGTGAGAGTGTGACCTACCTTCTTCCCCCGAATACAACGTAAGGTCATTATAGCTGTATCTAGACCGAAAGATGCCTCAAATACAGCTATAATGACCGTACGTTGTACTCGGGAGAAGAAGGTAGCTTGTGCAACTTCACTTCACAAGTCGAGCCCCCTTGCAGGGGGCGACTGGAGATGGGGCATGCACACGGTGATTCAACAGCTGGGCGGCTGTTATTTTGTCAGCTGGGTGATATTCTGTGGGCTGGTTAAGGCTATGCTAGCTGGGCTGCCGGAACCACTGCCGCCATAGGTATTATGTGGGATGGGTGGTATTATGCGGCCTGATGTGACACAGTGTGGGCCGGGCCGGGTGGTATCATGTTGAAACGGTTTCACCCAGTTGACCTGGTACTGCAGTCACAGAGATTCGATCCCTAGACCTGTGCCCTAACCCTGTACATTGACCCCGTGACCTGAGTAG